TGAAAGTCAAAACTCCACACATATGAATGCAAAACTCTGGTTTCTATTACTGTGGAGAAGCACTGAAAAAAATGAACACATTATCATGGAGTTGAGTAATTAGTACCATGCATATTACAACATTTATTGATTACTGATCACAAATGGCTGAAATCTTGCACCCAAATTTCTTAGTATCTTATACTGATAAGAACAGATGTTCATTATTAATAAAGGAACATAAGAGATGCATTATGAAAGATGGAAAGAAAGAAAAAATAGAAATTGGCTGCAGTTTTGAATAAAGGAATTTCTGAAATGAACCTGTATCATTCAAACCATTAGAACACACCCAGCAGAGTGAGACAATTATCTGCTGGACGTAGTAAGTCCTGTTTCTTTTGGTTTGTAAAATATAAAGAAACCCAACCCAAAACATCGTCTGTGGGTCTGACCTACTTTCTTTTTAAAAATACGAATCCCTCTTGTGGTCTTATTTTAATAAGCAAGAGAAGAATCTGGCAGCCATTATATAAGGGAAACCAAGCCAGTGTATACAACTGTAACACATTTGCTTGTTGCTGCTACAAAAATCCAAAATACATTTTAGTCTTTTGACCTTCCAAAGTATACAGATGCATTCTCTTGAGAGACTGCTATAGAGGACTTAGTTCTATAGGAGGATGAGATGTTTTGTTTAGATTTCTTGAAATTTCCCAACATTGTTGTAATCCCATAATTTCTCTTAACATGAAAGGAAAATAACCCCAGATTGGGTGGCCATCAATTAAAGACACGAGTCAACTTCAAGGGAAGTTATTTCTAGCTCCAAAACAGTCCAAACAAGATGTTTCCTAGAATATAACAATCCTAACACAACAAGCCAAAGGACATCTAGTCTAGCATTTGTATCAGCTGTTCCAGGAAGCTCTTAAAAGCGCCTTAGGGATTATAACTTTTTTCTACATCCATCAACTAGTAGTTGGGATATACTGCACAGGAGGAAACTTGCTGCCTAATGAAAATGTTTTATTGCATGAATTTGTCTGGTCCTCTTTTAATGTAGTTAAATTTTAACTTCATTATTAGTAAAAAAAAAAAAAAAAGCTACACAATTTTAAAAGTGGAAATTTTTAAAAAGATGTTGGATAAACGTTTGTCTGAAGCGGTGTAGGGAGAAAAGCCTAAGCAGGCTTTGGACTAGAAGTCCTCCAAGGTCCCTACCTTTGTTATTCTATCTAATGATGGAGTAAAGGAGTACTTATTTTTATTCATCTTGGTTTCCTATATTTAGCTTTAATCGATGTCTCCATATTCTACACACAGCACCTTTTTCTGACTTTACCTGTATTTAGATTTGATTAAATATAATTCATAGCATAGAATCGTTCCTTTCATATTTTTCTTCCTCTTTCTTCCTCTCTGTCTTGAATAATTAAAATTGATTATGATGTCAGTTAGTGGCTAAAAAAAGTATTTACCCAACTGGATTGTTGTTCAACACATTTAATTTACAATAACAGAGAAATCTGAAAATTAAATAGTTTGATTTCAGTTGATTTAAATAATAGTAAAGATCTGGATTACTTGTAAACAATCCTACTGCTACTTAATTTATCAAAATTTATCAGTAATATTTCAGTCTCGTACCCATCTTTGAGAATCATTGGGAATATTCTCAAAGAGAAATAGCTCTGCACTTGAAATCAGTGTGATTTCAGCCAATGCTCAAGCAGTTCATATTTCAGAGATTTCACTGAGTTACAGCTTTTCACCTTATAATTCTTATTAGAAAGAGTTAAGTTTTGGGTATCACAGTTCAACAACATTTTCAATGCTTGCATCTGTAAATATACCTAAATATTGGAAATTTTTTTGCTACCCTAATACAAGGTCAATGATCTTTAAACTTAGTTTTTGTCTATTTTTTATGGAGCAATTCTGCAAGTAAGATCCTTTCTTTGTTTCAAAATCTGATTTGAAAGTTGAAGAATACACCACATGGAGCTCCTATCAGCATACTTCCTTGTTTGCTATATTGTTTGTGTGCCAACACTAATGATTGTCAGCATGCCTGTGAAAAGAGTATTAGTTCCCAGCTGCTCACTGACAGTAGGTAGTGGTCAAAACATTATTCTGTGAGTTTCATAAAATAAGCATATTGTTTTAGTCTGGAATGGCTACTTGCTCAACCTTATTTTATCTATCTATCTATCTATCTATCTATCTATCTATCTATCTATCTATCTATCTTTATCTATATATTTATTTATCTACCTACCTACCTACCTACATATATACATGTAAGTTCTGGTACGTTCTCTTCAAAAATTATTCTACCTTTACAAAAAAAGAACATTTTGGATGCAATAATGAAATCACTTATTGAAGAATTACTTACCTAGTATCAGTCAGTGCAATTATTCAAGAATGAGAAAGATTGATGAAGAATGATGAGAGCAAGATACCATCCAAATATGTTGAATTAAAATCAAAAGTGTTCTTAAGGGATAATCTGAAATCTTGTTTCAGTTATTTTAATCATCCCCATAAATGAAGTGTTGATAAATAAATTTTATAATATATTTTATAATGTAAAATAAAAATATTATAAGTTAGCTTTACATGCTAATGTTTGATTTAAAATTTGTCTGTATCGTATATGTGCTATGAAACTCTTCACATTTTTCATATATATGCTATACATGAAACTAACTATGAAACATAAAGTGATCAAAGTATGTTGTTAATATTCTGATCTTAAGAGAATATGCCTCTTCTGTTTCTCTCATTAACTATCAGTGTATAAAACAGAACTGTTACTGGTTGCTAAAAAGAAGCAGTATTGTACAATTCAAGAAGTATGTGATATGAAGATGTAGTGGAGAATATCTTCAGAAGGAGACAATCAATGATAGACATTTTTTGAATTTTCATTTTCAGCATAAATACGAATTCTTCTCCCTTATTACCACTTTAAACTCCATATGAATAAATATATAGAAGAGAAGCTAGATATTGCATTTTGATATGTCTATAGTGAATGTTATTAAGTTGTCTGAAATAGGATCAGGATTGGATTGCAACCTTAATATGACATAGCATAATATTCAAATAAATGATTAAGTTAAGGCAAACAATTTTAATTAATCTCTTCCAGTAGAAAGACAAACTGCATTTCCACATAGCATCTTTTTGCTCTGCAACCTCCATTACCCCTTCTGGAAATGGGATGGAGAATGATTATGCTCTCTCTTTCCACCATAATGAATAATAATTAGTTAACAATGAGTCACATTAATGAGTTATGCCAAGATGAGGGGGAGTTAAACAAAAAAAAACCCTCATGGTGATGATTTTAGCCTTCATGGTAACATTTTTTAAAAATATAATTAAGTAAAGATTGCTCCTTTGGGTATCTATGGGTATATAGTGTAGGATACATATACTTTGTAGTCCAACTACATGTACACTAATCTGCCTTAAATGCAATATTTAATAAGTAAATACATAAATAAACTGAGAAACATTGTCTTGACTGGGATTCTAGTGAGGATTTGAGCTTCTGATACAGGTTACAAAGCCAATACTCTTATAACATGCATTATAAAAAATATTCCTTATGATCTTTCCTCCAAATTTATTAACCAAATTTACTTCACTAAAAGTGATTCTAGACTGGACGTAATGTAGTTTGGAAGAAAGAATGTTTCATAAGGTAGATGCCATGGCAGGGAAGGCATTTCTCCTAGGACCCATAAAATGATGGTCCCTAGTCCATATTGGGGGAGGAAAACTGCATAAAGCCTTGGTCTGTCCCCAGAATAACACTCTGAAAACTGAAAAGAACAGAACCAAATTAGGTATGTAAAGAAGCCAGAAAAAGAAAGATTCAGTTTCAGAATGGATTGATCAATCCAAGGATTATGGAGAAAAATTTTCCAGAAAAAAAAATGCCTAATGCAGTCTTATGAACTCAAGTGTTGGTGACTGCTCCATTTCAACTTTCTCTTCAACCTGTTCCTCCCCCGTGTATTCTTGTACACATATGCACCCAAGTAGACCCAGCATGAGGCAGTAACAGAATTAACACAGAGATATAATGAGTTACTCAGTTATACAAAAGTAAGTACAGTGCAGACATCTTATATGGCCACAGATGGATATGCTCTGCATGATTTCCTCACTTTGTATATTAATTCCAACCCAACAGAACTTACATGTGGCTTACAATTGTTTATCTGCTTGCCAGTCTATCTATAGAAAAATATTCCCAAAACAGAATAGAATAGGATCAGAAGTAATGTGGGGGAAGCCAGCAAAAGAAAGACTACATTCAAAAAGGGGTCTGATTCAGTTGGGATTGCAAGAAAAAAAATCATTTTTTTCCTCTCTGCATCCTTAGGGTAATGAATTTGGAATACAGCTTAGAAAGATCCGGATTCCATTATACTAAATCTTCTCCCTCCCTTCTTTCTATACATATGAGCCACAACAGAACTATTTTAAGGGGCTGGGAAGATTTCCAGAAGCCATGATCTGCATGCTTTCCAATTGTAATAATCAGCTATATTAAGGTAGTTTATAGATAGATTAATGTAGCTAATCATCCACTCGTGTTTTTCTCAGCCCTATATGTTTCCATGTCTATAAAGATTCAGCAATAAACCATGACCCTGTGGTAGCTTCTTTAATGATGTAGAATTGTGTTCTAGTAAATACTTGTGCTTTGTATTAAACAATTAGTCACAATTTGTACTATACATCCATGTTCAGAATAAGTTTCTGCTAAGCAGTATGCAGGTTTACTGGATAGCAGACTCTTGTAATGATAAGCAGACTCTTGTAATTATAAGGAGAAATAATTATATAAGGTAAGGCAGATGAGTCTTTGCTTTATAGTAATATAACTTGTGACTTCACCAAAAATATTCTCTCATTAGGCACATACTTTATAGCTATTTGGTTCTGTGTTCAAATAGTGATTGCCCATATGTAATGGGCAGCCTCTGTTTAGTCAGAAGTAAAGTCCAGTTGTGTTCAGTAGATTCCCCAATAAATATATATGGTGTAACAAATTTATAGCTATATGATTCTACAAAAATATTTTATATTGTTTTTAAGCCTATTTCAATTTTCATTTACAAAAGTCTATTTCCAACTGATCATGAAACAATGATATATCGGCACCATGGAAAAAGCAAGGAAAAAATTAAAAACTATAGTATAATATAATTGTAATTCTGAAGGGTTCTTGGTGCTCTCTGAAATTGTTTTGATGCAGAGGTTTCATTACCCAAACTAGATAACAATATCAGTGCATAGTAGGGAATGAAATGTCTGCAAAAAAACAACCAAGTTCAGAGAGCACCAGGGAGCCTCATTTCAAACCTGAGCTACAAATATTCTCCCTTAATTGTAATTCTGCTTGTCCATACTGTATTTATAGCACTATAGATGTTATATTTGCTTCCTAAGGATGCAGCATAGAAAGAGCAATGGTAATGGACAAATACTAGTATAATATTTGGAAGTCGTGCAGACTGTGACTATTGCTTCTTACCTGTTTACTTTAGTATAATATTTAGGTTTGTGACAGGAAAAACAAACTTTCTATTCTTCCAGTGGGTATTCTGAGACTTCACGTATATAAAAATGTTCATGTACAGACCTAGGACAATGATAATTCTATTAAAATATATAAAACAGATCAGAACATGAATGTGACAGAAAAAAAGGCATGGGACTGCCTTTCTGCACATGCTTATAAATACAACAGAGCTGTATTTTGCTATACGCGTCGAAAATGTTGAGTGTGGGGGGGGAGGGACTCCTTTTGGTAGGATTTTGATGTGCAGCCCGCTTTAAACAAGACTTTAAAAATTTATTTCTTGCCCTACTAAGAAGATAAACTGTTTCTCAAATCTAGGGAAGGAAAACATCTCTCCTTTTAGACAAAGGAATAGAAAAACACAAACAAGTAGGTTACTGTGACAAGTGAAATTATTTTATTTATTAAACTTACTGTACTACCAACTGGCAAGATCTCTTGGCATTTTACAATCAAACATAAAATCAAAATCATTTGAGAAATACTTAAGCATGAAAATCAACCATGAAAGGCTTCTTTAAAAAGGCTTGTTGCAAATGGGTCTTTTTGAATAAAATCAATGGCATTAGGTATATCAACTAAACAGGAATCTCATTCCAGAAACCTATAGGTGTTTTTTGTTTGTTTGTTTCAAAGAAGCATCCAGGTCTTTAAAACAGTGCACTGAGCTGCTGATACAATACATCTTTAAAATCAAAATTAATTTGATTCTAGGACTCCACAGTTCCACCCTGAGCTACATATATTCTCTTCTACGGTAATTTGATTGTACTCTGTCTTCACGTTTTCTGCTCCAAACTGACTACTATTATAACTCTTACTTGAAAAGATAAAAGAGCACGGAGATGTGCAAAGATAAATTGCAGGAGACCTACAACTTAAACCACTGAAAAAGTAAAAAGGATAACATTCAGGCAGGGTAACTTATTTCAAAAATTTGCTTTGATTTAAGGTAAGTGAACAGTTTGTCAGCCTATTGCCATTTTACTCTGCAGTCCCTTGATCTACTTTAAGGAGTTAGAAAATCTACAGAACAATATAGAATAGGGAGTTGCTAGAAAAAGATGAATTGCCCCAAAGAAAATGACAGTAACCTTCTCTTTAGGGCAATTTCTCCTAAGCATCTTCATGCCCTGTCTCATATTGTTTAGGAAGTTCCGCAATCTCCAAGTTTTTATTGTAGATCTAGAAAGCTGGAGAGAAAAAGGAAATAGCATAGTTAAATTATTACCTTAGAATAGAATGATTCACCTGCCAGAAGCTCTCCATGATCTTAAGCAGATTTTTTTTCCCATTACTATTTTAAACTGGACCTTCTGAGTTTAAAACAAGGACTTAACAGCATGAAGATATGTGGAATATCAAACTGTGATCGGGGGCAAAGGATCAAAAGTACTGAGGAAAACATAAAATGGTCAATTTTACCATATAAAATGTTGGCAGTGATATGTTCTTCAGGGCTTCTAGCAATGATTTCATGACAGAAACATAAAAGGTCACGGCTTCTAGCTTATGTAGCAGAGGTGGGTCAAAGGCAAAGTCTCTACCATAAAAGATTTGGAAAGTACACCAGAATTGGATTTCCTTTTACCAGCCATTTTTCTTCATAAAGCTCTGCTGTGTTTTTGTTGCTTTAGAAGAAATAAAACAAACTAGCAAGCCAATTTTTTAAAGGGATTTTTGCTCCCTATTTCCTGTCAGATGCATAGAAAAACATAGCAAGCATCAATATTAACTCAAAAAAGATAGCTTAGTGACAGCTCAGCCCCAAGAAGCTTTCATTAGATTGCGGAGGTTGAAAAGACAGGAATATTCATCACTTTCTTCCTTCTGAGAAAGTTGCAACAAAATTCTATTTCCAACTTTTCAATTGTAAAAAATGAAAATAAAGGTCAAATGAAAGCTTTACACTATGGGTTAAAAAGAGCTTTGGCATCCTTTGCAGCATTGAAGTTTGCCTTGGGCTAGTTTTTAACAACAAATATATGGGTTATAAATAGAATATGAATAAAGATAACATATTTATTCGTGTATTTGCCCCAAATTCTGCATCTTTCATATAGTACACTGTGTACAAACTTTCTGCCAAATTAATACAGTCATATAATGATGACTGAAAAACTATTACCAACAATTAAAATAGATGGTTTTAGTAATAAATTTACATATATATAATTGAAATACCACTCATGCATCATCACAAAATCTCCAGAACCATAAAGCCTATAAAGTTGAAATTTGGCACGTATGTTTCTCTTGGCTTCTATGTGCTCACTAAGAAAGGATTTTTCGAAATGACCATCAGAGCAATAGTATTTCATATATTATTATTAACACGCTCTGATGCTAAGGAGTTCTACTCCCCCTCCCTACCTGAAAAGAAATCTGTTCCAAATGCAAAACACAAGCAGAGGAGAGGAGTTTCAGTTTTAGTTTCCCAGCACCAAGCAGCTTTAGTACAGAACAGTTGAGCTAGAACCATGCCCAGGCTCCTTGCTGTCCTTTCTTGCACTCACAGCAAGAAGTTTCAGTTTCCAAACAGCCCTCAACTCTCTCACACACTGACAGGATGCTAACTGGATGAATACCGATGGATACTGGTAGGCAGAGGCAGAATTTTTCCCCCTTATTTTCCTTCCCCAAAACTAAACCCGACCACATAGTTTCGTAGCAAAGAACGGGTATTGAGCTAATTCACAATACATGTTACTCCTCATGATTTAAGTTTTTCAAAAGTTTTTTTTAAACATGGAAGCCCGAAATACAAACTATAAGTCACAGTGCAAATATTTAATTTAATTTATATATTAAAAATTGTAATAGAACAGCTGAGTCAGTCAGTATATAAATTTAATAAATTATAATTAAAAATTCAAATACTCACATAATACCCTGGAATTATACTATTTGATCAGTAAAACTGATTAGAATAAGCTATTCAAACTTCATAAGAATGTTGTTGTTTTTGCCATCTAAAATCATCTGAATTAACGTTTCATTAATTTGTTTAATTCATTAATTGCAACATTATTATTAGTTCAGAAAATTGGAAGAAACCTAATATTGATATTTGGCTCAATTCTCAGTTCTATTTAATAACTTTATAAATGATTAAGAGCAAGGGTGTCAAACTCAAGGTCCAGGGGCCAGATCCAACCTGCGGGGTATTTAGATTTGACCCATGGAGCTGCCCTGGAAACAGTGGAGGACTGGCCTGTAGTGCATCTGTCAGCAAAACGGAGCTCGGGAGGGCCGCACAGCCTTCCCAAGCTCCGTTTTTGCTGACAGAGGGTTGCAGGAGGCCATCACAGCCAGAAACAGAGCTCAGGAGCCTGTTTGTGCTGGCAGAGTGCTTGGGCTGTCACAGGCGCCCCCAACACAAGTGACATTGAGCTGGCTATGCCGACCCTGGCAACACCTCCCTTGTTTGTCTAACACAACCCTAATGCGGTCCTCAATGAAATCGAGTTTGAAATCCCTAACCTAGAGGATGAAAGGATTTTAGAAAACTGGCAAATGACACCAAACAGGGTATTTTGATTTCTGATATAAAAAAAAAGCTCAATTCAAAATGTCTCTAAGTGAGGGCTGGAACACTGGGGGAGACCAAAAAGGTTGTGTTAACCTGTGACAAGATTTCCATCTTAACACATAAAAAGGCATAGATACAGTTTTTGGGATATTATATTGTATTGGATATTGTTGTAAGTCGAGTAGGTGGCATACTTCCAGTTCAGTTGGTAGGTTGGCATACTTCTTGCCTAGAATTTCTTCAGCAATGAAAGATTCCTAATATTAGTTAGTCTCAAAACTGGGAAGAATGACCAGGAGAATGGAAATGTAGTTTAAGATAAAAGATGAACCAAAAAAACTACCAACCACCTAACTTCAACTATATACTGATGATGTCTCAGCTAGCTCTGACTGACTAGGAAATGATATCTGACTCATTTAAAACTCTGACTTGGTATGTAACAGTTTTGAAAAAGTAAATCCATATTGGGAGTCTCTTGAGAAAAAAAAACCCTAAGCAATTCCAATATTAATTTACAAAAATATTAAATTGGGATAGAATTCTAGCTACTGCCTTTTCAGAAATTACACTGTAGACAAGAGGTGAACAATGCAATTCATAGGTGGCATTAAAAAATGCCTTTATTTCAGCTTCTGAAACCCCAAAACTGTCTTTCCAAATTGTCCAATACAAACCAATATTCTCATGTACTTTCAGTGGGCAACAAAAGTTGCATTTAGTCTCTCATAAATATGCATGTTTACCAACTCATTTATTCATTCATTCATGTATTCATTCATTCAGAATTAAAGTAAGTTAGTAAATTAGTAAGTTAATAAGTTAGTAAGTAAGTAAGTAAGTAAGTAAGTAAGTAAGTAAGTAAGTAAGT